AAAACAAAAAAAAAAAAAAAGGAAAGAAAGAATAAAAAAGAGACCCCACTTCTACAAAAAAATTAGCTGGGTGTGGTGGACGGTGTCTGTAAATCCCAGCTACTCAGGAGGCTGAGGAGAGAGGATTGTTTGAGCCTGAGAGGTTGAGGCTGTATTGAGCAGTGATCATGTCACTGCACTCCAGACTGGGCAACAGAGTGAGTCCCCATCTATCTATAAAAAATAAACAAAAAATAGAGTAAGATAAATTGCTAAATGATAAGAAGGCCACACTCTGAGTAAACAAGCCTTAAAGAGCCCCTACCTTCTCCTCTATGAACATTTGCTATGGTTAAGTAGTGTGAGGTCCAGGAATGAGGGATGACGCCTGGAATGACGAACAGACAAAAGGGCCTGCAGAATCAGTCCCTGAGGGCCACCTGCAACTCCATCTTGAAATGAAGTTTTCCAAATTAGATCAAAGATGACTCTGGTTATAACTACGCCCCCCTTTACACCCCAAGGTGCTGAGCAATTTGCAAGAAGCCAACACAAAAATATTTGTAGAAAGTTAAGACGCACCAGAAAACCTGTGAACAGGTAACTGATCTGAAGATTTGTCTTTTAAAAACCGTTTTTCTTAAAAAGAAGTTACTCATGACCGGCATGGAACCTATCACCTTACGCCTTTTCAAGGCCTCAACGGCGTCTAAGAAAAAGTGGCGGGTCACTAGTGACGCTGCTGCTTAAAAATGGCATCAAATTTCCTTAATGCCCAAGGCCGTCACCCCCATGCTTGGATTCTTAGAGGAACATTCAGAACCTGTTGTATCCGCCAAGAGGAAAAAGTAATGATGTGAATGAAACGTCAGTTTCTCTCTCCTTTTTGGCAAATTTGGCGCCTAAGTCATTAAGGAAAATGGAGGGACAGACAGGGCAATAGAGCCCAGTAGGAAGACGCTGACGGGAGCTCTTCAGTGAGGAAAAGAAAACAGACTCCTGGGCCAGCAGCTTGCTGTTCAGATGGGCGAGGCCACTCTAGCGCAGGGCACCTGATCGCCATGGTAACCGAGCACACAGCACAGAGCCATCCGCCCCCACGGACTCCGCTGTAAGCCTGTTTCCCTTACTGCAGGGCTGTGGCTGGCTAAGCAAGTTGTCCAAAGTCCCTGCCTACCTGGGAGGGAAAACCAACCGCCAGTCCATCTTGGTGGCCCGGAATTTCAAGCACTGAGCGTTTCTCACCGACTTTCAGGAAGAAGCCAAGACGGGCCTGCAATGGCCTTCCTGCAGACACTGGTTCTACCACGGCGAGCTACTCAAGGCAGACAATGGAGGGAGCATCTTCTGGGTCTGTGAGCCTCTTGAGGATTCTGGGGTAGCCATGGGAAGAACAGGGAATCGGAATCCTGCAGCAATCTTAGGACAGAGGCTCGCTCCCCTGCTTCAGGGAAGTTTCCACAGAGACACTGTCAAGGAAGATTCTAGAGTTTCTCATGTCACCCATCCTAAGGATTTACTAAAAACCACTGTTAGAAAGCAACTCTATTTTTCTAAATTAAATTCCATATACTGGGCGGGGCACAGTGGCTCATGCCTATAATCCCAGCACTTTGGGAAGCTGAGGTGGGTGGATCGCCAGGTGTGGTGGCACGCACCTGTAGTCCCAGCTACTTGGGAGGCTGAGGCAGGAGAATCGCTTGAACTCAGGAGGCGGAGGTTGCAGTGAGCTGAGATTGTGCCACTGCACTCTAGCCTGGGC